TCATTTAATATTTCTACATTAAAATGTTTTTAAACTTAACATAACTTGTGCAAAATCCATCTATGGATTTTGTTTATAGTGATTTCATTTGATTGTTAATAGCCGCAACATGTTTTTTTATTCAGATTGAATTAATTGCATTTAAGAATCTGACATAAAAGGACACATATATGACAATACATTTTTATAATAATATTTCATAATAATCTTTGTTTTTTTCTGCTCAGTGTTATTTCAGGGTTTTGATCTCTCAACTGAGAGATCACATCCTGTTTATTGTATTATAGTGACTATTTAATATTACATCTAAACTTTGACTAGGCTAGACATGTTGCCTAATAATTGTAAACAGTATATGAACCTGAAAGCATATTTTAATTTTTGTGTATTTTATGTTACTCCATAATAATGTTCTAGTTGAGGGCATTTGTAGTATAGGTATGGGGCCCAAACATAACCTCAAGCCCAGGGGCCCCCGGCCCCGTAAGTCCTGCCCTGGGGGTTACACAGATACATACAAATGATTTTACAAAATGTAAATATAATATTTATTGTGCAAAAAGAAACTTAAAAATGTTCAAGTTTGTATTTTTTTTTTTCATTCTAATTGGCCAATTAAGAGTTTGTTATTATTGTTCAAACAGGAACTGTGGTGACAAAAAAACTTTCTCAAAACCAACCCACCTTTTTGAGTTTGCTCAAACTAAATGTGAACTTACCTGGGTAAAAACCCAAAACAGCTTCGGGCAAAGGCCTCTGGAGTTTGCACTCGTTTGTGGTGTTTGAGGCGCAGTTTGACTCGGTGTGCTGCTCCGTGAGGGACTACTTTAGTTGTTGGATTTTTACTGTACTGTTCCTGCTGCATGGACTGTTGGTCAGATAACTGCATATTTCTTACTCCGGATTAGGCCAATGCATTGGATTTCTCTGCCATGATTGTCTGTATTGTTTCTTGTATTTCTCTGTTTTTGTTGTGTTCATGTTTGATTTGTAAGTGCTTTGAGCTGTGGAAAAGCGCTATATAAATTATTAAATTAAAATTTCAAAATGTAAAATTTATTAAAAAAAATTTAAATATATTGAATTAAACTTATTATTTATTCCTTGATGAAATCTGACATATGTCAAAAGCTTTTTAGCAATTATTTTGTAAGTGTTCAGTCTCATCCACTGACCAGATCATAAGACATAAAATATACAATGTGTGATTGTATGACATAAAGCTCACGAAAACATGCATCACAAGACTTTAGATGTGTGCTTGGTATTTTTTAATCCGATAAAAAAAGAAGAAAAATTGTGTGAGATAATAGTTTTTTACCTTTTCATTGGATTTTTCATTCTGATTGATTGATGTGTTAACGTGAATGTTTTACAATTCAATCGAGCTGTCAGTCCAGTTACTTATGGATTATTTGGGTGCATGATTTTGACGTATCAAAATTTTGTTTACAGAAATGTTTTCTAGATGGGCATTTTGACCAAGAAATATCATATTGCAAGACACAAGTGCTCTATATGTGACTATGTGCAAATTACCACTTGAAGGCAAGTATGAATCTGTATTACTGAGACTGTAAGAATACTGATAATGTTACGTTTTTACAATTTTAATATTGGTGTCTTAACAACACCACTCCAGCTAACTGGGAACGTTCTGACAAGTATCTCTAAATGTTCTTCTAGTAGCGTTACTAGAATGTTTGAAGTTGTCTGGTGATTAATTTGCGTTTGTGGTTAATTTAAAGAAAGGCCGTTCAAATCCAGCCAGGGTTGATCCATGAAATATCACCATTGTGTCCTTGATGAACTCTGAATCTCAGAAACTGAACTTGTAATAACTGTAATAAAAGATTTGGATAAAAGTATAAACAAAAACAAAAAAAAAGCCAAATACGTGTTTATGTAATGTATTGTTTTATATTATATCCCATGACTGTTAATGGCTGCTGTGCAATCTATCTGAATTGTGTTTTAATCACATTTCACAAATGCTAAAACAGTGCTAAAACAGTGACAGTTGTTATTTATTATTTATTTCAGATGTTTGCTAAATCCACTGAATGTCTCAAGTGTTAAAATGTACAAAAGTGAAGTATCCCAGCCGGGTGAATGACTTAGATAAGATTTGGCCAAATCTCTAAAATGGCCCTTAATATTGATATGAACAGGTTTGCAAAGCACAAGCAAAACTAAAGGCATTGAAATCTTTAACACAGCCTAATACTGGGTGAGTCAAACTTATATTTCCTGAAGTCAGACATGGAAAGGTGAATCCCTGCTTTGAACACCAGATGTCACTCTGGTTATAGTATATCTAACTGAATGTCTACATGAAATACCAGGTAACATTTCCAACATTTTATAACACAGGTTACATTGATTTACCATGCGAAACAGTTTCTGGTAAACAGCCACAATTATTACAATTATTGTTACTGCAGTAAAACTGTGGTAATTATCAGTCACCCAAACTAAAATGACAAATATGAGTAATAATGCTTTTTTTTTTTTTTTGCAGAAACTATATGGTAGACAACATTATCTCACATGGTTTATTCAACTATATTTATTTATTTATTTTGTTTTGTTCTCAAAAGCAATAGTAACAGAGATGCTTGCCTTAGCAAATACCACATTTCATGCTTTATTCTGTGGGATTCTGATTCTCATTCCTCTAGTGGCCAAATGATGTTAATGAGGTGGTGCTACAACTGGAAATACATAATACACAACTCAATGTGAGTTAGAAGCAAAGCACGACGGTGTTTTAGTGCCACGTTAAAAAATACAAATCCAAGATTACGAGATTAAAGTCGTAATATTTTGAGAATAAAATCGAAATTACGAGATTAAAGTTGTAATATTTTGAGAATAAAATCGAAATTACGAGATTAAAGTTGTAATATTTTGAGGATAAAATCGAAATTACGAGAATAAAGTCAAAATATTTCGAGAATAAAGTCGAAATGTTTCGAGAATTTATATCGTATAAATTAAAGTTATTGGGTAGAGTGGGGCAAAATGCCCCCCTTAAGGACTTTGTATTTTATTTTAATTTTTTCTGTGAAACAAAAGTTAAATGTGTTCAGTTATCATAGATTTAGTGACAATGGCATAAATTATAAACAAAGTATGAGAAATGTCCAGTTTTCATGTTATTAGATTTTTAACAAAAATTTAATTTGTGCCTTAAGGGGGCATTTTACCCCACCTACAGTATGGTGTATATACCTACAGTACCTAAACATTTACAGCAAAATCAAAGTACAGGCAGTTCTTGCTTAAAATTAAAAATAATTTAATCAATATGAATTACACAATTATAATAGCCTATTTGAAACATTTTGTTAGCTGATGCTAACTGGCTAGTTAACTAGCTACCTGATGCTAACTTGAGGTAATTTTTTAATATAAAAGTTTTTCTGCGGTATATATTGCAATCTGAAAAAAAAAAATCACCAGATGACTTGAATAGATCTATTTGGAAAAAAATATATATATATTATTTTGTGATTTTGTAGGTGATTTTGTAGGTGAGTAAATCAGCATGGAAAATAAACAAATTACAAGCATAGAGAAATATAATAGAACAAAGATACAAATGACTCTAAGCAAGATCACAGCTGGAGAACTGTAGAAAATAGTTGAGTCACGGGTCAGAAAGCCTAAAAAAAATCAAACAGCCCCTACATCACCAAATGTTGTTGGGGAGGGTTTCAAGAAAAAAAAAAAAGAAAAAAAAAACACGCTCTCATCCAAAAACAAACTCCAGCATATTCATTTGCTAGAGATGACTGGAACTTCAAATGGCACTGGCTTATATGGAAAGATGAAACTAAAAATGAGCTTTTTAACAGCAAACACTCAAGATGGGCTTGGTGCACACATGAGTAAAAAAGTACCCCATGTGTACAATGAAATATACTGCTGTATCTTTAATGTTGTGGGCCTATTTTTCTGTCAAAGAGATCCTGGATATTTTGTTCAGACTGACAGCATCGTGGATTCTGTCAAATACCAACAGATAAAAAATTAAAAACCGACTGTCCATGCTAGAAATCTTAAAATGTACCATGGTTGGATCTTCCAACAGGACAATGATCCACAAACAAACATCAAAATCAAACCAAAAATGGGTCACTGAGAACAAAACCAAGCTTCTGCTATGGCCATCCCAGTCCCCTGAGCTGCACCTTATAGAAAATGAGTGTGGTGAACTGAAGAGGAGAAGCATCAGCATGCAGCTGGAAGTCTGAAGGGTCTGGAGAGATTCTGGATGAAGGAATGGTCTCTGATCTCTTATCAGGTGTCCTCCAAACTCTTCAGGCATTACAGGAGAAAACTCAGAGCTGTTATCTTGGGAAAAGTATTGAATAAAGGGTATGATTAATTGTGGTTAATGTGTATTAGAGAGAAAAAAATATTTATTTCATAATGAGAATTTCCCTCCATTTTAAATTCTTATTCTCCAATGAAAGGTTAGGTTTTTGTGAATTTTTTTAATAAAAGATCGAGGATTAATGATACAGATTTATTTTCACAGCCTTCTTTGATCATATTTACCAAGGGTGTGAATAATTTTGAGCACAACTGTACAAAAGTGATTTTTCTCTATGCGTGTTGTTGTTTGATTAACATTCATCACACAGAAAGCAGCAGGAACATTAAACTGCGGTGAACCAATATAGCTACTGTTACACATCCATTTTCTTTCTCAATTGTTTACCTTCACCTAAACCATAAGCATAACTGTGTTTACAAGGATACTTGCAGAGACATGCATTTTGGCATAATTTTGCATGTATGTGTCATTTCAGGCACAAATAGATGCGGAAGTGAACGGAATTCAATGTTCACGTATCTGCGTGGCTCTCCCGCGTAGAGTGGATGAATAAATTTATGTATTTGTTTATGTATAAACTTTATTAGGTTAGTTTAGTCGGCTACTTCGAGCGTCTTGCACATTAAGCACCGCAAACATGTTTTTTTTTTTAGAAAATATAATAATGTGGCTATTTTGTTTAATGACTGCATTTCTTGTACTTTGAAATTTTTTTTTCTCTCTATCTCAGATTATAGAACAAATGAGTTCCGACTAGCTCTGGTACTGGGGTGCCGTGATGAGGTAGGCCTAATGGTGATGCTTCACGACCAATACAAAAAGTCTGTGCGAAAGATGACAGAATATTTATTTAGCTGCTATTTCGAAAGCTTTAAATGTAATTTTCTAAATGACATCAGCAGTGTTTATTGGTTTACCAGTGTCTATAATTGGCTTATTCGCTGCTCTGCTGTGAGATCTGTTTATAGAGACAAAATGTGCAAAAAAAAGATACGTTTAGGGGTACAACAGCAATGGGGCTATACTATTACAGGACATCTTTGTACCTTGTCTACCCCTAAAAAGTACTATATGAAACTTTTAGGGGTAAATAAAGTACTACCCCCTGACAAGTGAGTGAGTGAGTGAAGTGACATGTGGCCAAGTATGGTGACCCATACTCGGAATTAGTGCTCTGCATTTATCCCCTCCTAAGTGCACACACACAGCAGTGAACACACACACACCGTGAACACACACCCGGAGCAGTGGGTAGCCATTTTTGCTGCGGCGCCCGGGGAGCAGTTGGGGGTTCGGTGCCTTGCTCAAGGGCACCCCAGTCGTGGTATTGAAGGTGGGAGAGAGCGCTGTACATTCACTCCCCCCACCTACAATCCCTGCCGGTATGAGACTCGAACCCACAACCTTTGGGTTACAAGTCCGACTCTCTAACCATTAGGCCACGACTTCCCACACAAGCCCCTAAAGGTACACTGTAAAAAAAATCTGTGACATTTACGGTAAAATACCGCAGCTGTGGTTGCCAGAACTTCACCGTAAAAAATATGGTAGCAACATTTTAGGTTTTTACAGACTTAACTTAAATTCACAATAAAATACCGTATTTCATTAACTGATGTAATGTTAATAAACCAACATATTGAAGTGTTAATATCTGTTTTGAACCATTGTAATGCACTAGTATGGAAACTTACTGTTAACCAGTTAACAGGTTTTTACTGTAGCATTTTTACAGTCTTTTACTGTTAAAATCACAATCATTTTTTACAGTGTACAGTTTTTGCATATGTACTTTTTTCTGAGAGTGTAGCACACCCAATTGATCAAAAGTAGGGTTATAGCCAACTATGAGAAGTGAATTCTGATTTTACACACCGAAATAATAATAAGGATTTAGGTGGTTAGCATAGCCTCATTAGTCCTTGCTATTCAATGTCTTGATTACACCAATCTGTAGGCAAAAATATCTCTCTCCATAAATGTTTCACCACTTACTTCTCCGAAACAGATGAGAACTAAAGACAACCTCAACAACCAGAGAACATCTGTTAACAACCAGTGAACAGCTGCGTCATATCATAGATAGTGCAAGTTCAAGTCATTAGATGTTTTCCTTCAATTTACTTATTTTAAACATTCACAAGCATTGACACACATACTCACCAACAACATGTGCTTTATGTCTTCAATAAGAAAGTCTTCTTCAGGATGTGGGATCTAGGTGTGATAACAAGGTTCTTAGAAATGACCTTTGCTAAGTTCTACTGAAATATCACACTGTTACATAATGTGAAAGTCATGGACAACAAGATTAATCTTAATCCAAAGATTATACGGCATTTTAATGTTTCACAAAGGAATATGCTTTTGAATGTCAACATTTTGTTTTCATGGTTCATTTTTTGTGAGCTTCACATCAGCAGGAACCAAGAAGAAAACAAAAAGCCCAGATGCAATCTTCACACCTACAGTCATCACATGCACATGCTGCTTGTCCAGCAGAATCTACCGTTTCGACATCAAACCACATTGTTTTCCAGATCGGACGTCAAATAACAGGTTTCATTTTGACACCCGACTGAGTTCAAGCATTGCTTGTGTTCAATCACAGTCACAGCAAAAGCACATTTGCACTTCCCTTTTGGAGTTTCCCACTTGTTCTTCACATGAGCTTCATTATCACATTAAGATGAGTTAAACCACAGATTTTATTGTAAAATAAAATAAACTGAATGAACGTGGATGAGTGTAAGAGAAATCTCATTGTTATCATGGAAGTCAGCATTCTTACTTTATAGGCTCATAAGCATCAACAATGTCTGAGCACAAGGCGCATTGTTTAGCTGGATTGAGGTTGGTGTAAATGCACTTAAGCCACCTGTGAGCCACATTAAACAGTCTGACGAACCGTAAATGTATTCATTTGTGGTGTTTGTGCTTTGACCAGTAAAAGTAGCTTCTTTGAATTCTCCATGACTTGTAAATGACTTTTTTCATCAATAAGAAACCTCTCATGTCAGTGATTTTGCATGCTCAGGTTAGCTGTCGTATCTGTGGAGGGAGGAGAGAAAAGATGCAGCGGATTAGAACTTGTTTCCATTGTCTGCAAACCACAGGCTTTCAGTGTTTTAATCTCGAGCACCTTGAGTGATATTATTTCCGAGCGCTGAACTGTTGAGGAAAATGTTCGACAGATTAGTTTTGTTCTGTTTGTGCTGTTGCTGTCTGGTCGGTAAGTTAAACATGTTATGCTTTATGGTAGCGGATGAATTATTTAGAAATCAGACAGATGTGCTCTGGCTTATATTGTTAGATGAAAAGTGTTTTAAATCCAATTGAGGCGTTACTATGAAATGTAGGATTTGTACGATTTTTGTAATTTTAGTTTTTGAAAGAAGTCTCTTCTCACTAAGGCATTTGTTGCAAAAAATACAGTAAATATGTGAAATATTAAGATTTCAAATAACTGTTTATTATATATTGTTTCTTAACTGTTTTTTTATATTTAAATATATTGTAAAACGTAAGTTATTTTTGTGATGCAAACCTGGATTTTCAGCATCATTACTCCAGTCTTCAGTGTCACATGATTCTTCAGAAATCATACTAATATGCTGATTTACCGCTCAAGATACATTTCTGATTATTATCAATGTTAAAAACAGTTATTTTTTTGTGAAAACCGTGATACTTTTTTCAGGATTGTTTGATGAATAGAAAGTAAAACATTATAAATTAATTTAATGCATCCTTGTGATAGATTCAAGTCTGATGTCTAACGAGTAAGACTTTATAAAAGAGTTATAAAATGATATTTATGTGGAACTCTTTTCTTCTTAAATACATAAATGAATATTTAACCAAAACTTGCTCTCCAGGTGTGTTTGGTGATTCAAATGCGGTGAAGTCGGTGTCAGTGACGGAGGGAGATTCAGTCACTCTAAACCCTGATCTTACTGATAAACAATCTGACAATCTGATCATGTGGAACTTTAAAACTAACGGGCCTCTTATTGCGAAAATCGATCTAGCGGCCAACGATATCTCGATAATAGATGATGGTCCAGATAAGAGATTCAGAAACAGACTGAAGCTGGATCTTCAGACAGGATCTCTGACCATCACAAACATCACAACTGAACATGCTGGAGTCTATCAAGTAACCATCAGCAGCAAGACAAAGATTATATATAGATTTAATGTTACTGTCTATGGTGAGTAGAGGTTTGCAGTTTGCTTTGTTCATATAATACCATTTTTCATATATAATTGTCACTTGCTGTTTATTCTCTCATGTTTTCAGCTCGTCTGCCCGTTCCTGTCATTATAAGTGACTCCCCACAAAATTCTTCATCATATTGTTCACTGCTGTGTTCAGTGTTGAATGTGGGTCATGTGACTCTCTCCTGGTACAAAGGAAACAGTTTATTGTCCAGCATCAGTGTGTCTGATCTCAACAACAGTCTGTCTTTACGTCTGGAGTGTCTGGATGATTCCTACAGCTGTGTGGTGAACAATCCCATCAGCAACCGGACTAAATATGTCAACATCACTGATCTCTGTCGTCCATGTTCAGGTATGCTAGCATCTTGTGGAAAAAGGCTATGCATGCCAACAGTTTAGTGCATGATTTGCTGTTCATCTTTCGCTAATGTAAAATGTTGTTCTTTTGTTTTCTCAGATTGTGCCTTCTGCTGTCATGCTTCTGAAGCTCTCGCCCGATTGGCTGTCTCTGTTGTGGTGGGCGTGGCTACTGTTGCTATTGTAGTTTATGACATCATCACATCCAGGAAAGGTGTAAATGAGAGACGTCGTGACTTGCTAATACAATATAAGATGGCTGTTCGTGATAATTCAAATTGTAAATCCATATAATTAGCTTTTTTGTTCTTGTTTTTATATATTCCTTTGGCTAGGGTGTATTTTATATTCATTTTGAAATGTGCTATATATGGAATGTTCAAAATTTGCGTAAAACGGTGTTTTTTATTTATTCATTGCAATTTGTGTTTATGTGTGTGGCATTTAATAAAAACTTGGCATTTAAAAACAACAGGAGAAATTACTTAATATTCATATATTTTCATGTTTTTTTTTTATTGAATGGCAAATAATTTTAAAGACACAAAGAGGCTATATGTGGCTTAAAATGTGCAATAACAATCTTAACAGCTATAAGCATAAGCATTTTAGACATTTATTTGCATCAAAGTGTTGTTTTGAGTTGACAACATCAAATTCCTCGAGTCAACTTGTATTAACTTATGTTAGGCTGAATTAACAAGCGTCTTTACCAACTAAATTGCTGACACTGCATTTGGAATATAAATATTGGATATTTTCCATATAATCAGTGACTTCAGACCTGTTCAGCACTAAGCTGTACTAAAATTTAACTGTAATGACAGATGAATATCGCTTTGATATGTTTTATTTATAGTTTAGCGTTTTAGGTATGATATATATATATATATATATAAATACATTTTTATTATTTTTTTATTTTTTTGAGAAAATGCTACATGACGCCACATGAAGTATTATTTAAAAAAAAAAAGAAAACGTTGACCAAAGTCTTCTCAATACCATGTCAAACAAAGACATTCGCTCAATTATTAATAGATCTCAGATTTCTTTACCTGCTTGTGTGAGTTTTTGGAATAACATATTTAGTGATATAGAATGGGAAGAGTTTTGGCTTCTTCGACAAAAATTCTTCTTATCTAATAAAGTTGTTGAAGTCTCTATCAAAATTATCCATAATTGTTATCCGGTAAATTACAAACTTGCTAAATTTAACAATAGTATTTCCCCCAATTGCTCCTTTTGCCTTCAGTCTGAAGAAACAATGGATCATTTATTTTGGGACTGTGCTTATTCTAAAGTGTTCTGGGTTGACTTTTCCAATTTTGTTAACAAATATTTATATCCAAACTTTTGTATAACCCCAAAAACTGGTTACTCTTTGAATTTAGACCCTTCTCACTGTACATTTATTATTAATCTATTGCTATATCTTGCTAAATTTTACATTCATAAGTGTAAAGTTTCAAAGAAAACTCCCTACTTTTTTATTTTCAGGAAAGATTTTGGTGTATGTAAACTCTTTAAGAAACTCTAATAATTCTATTGCATGTAAGACTCTTTCATGGTGTAAGTCTTATAAGCTAACATAGTATGCTTTGGAGTATTGTTTGTAACCCTTATTGTCTTTTGTTCTTACTTGTCTTTGTTGTTCTTCTATTGCATAATAAAAATTTAAAAAACGACTAGTTTGATTATATCCAAGTTGTGGATGCGACAACAGCGCCTCCTGCAGGCTGTTAACGTTTACAACAGCCGTAAACTGAACAATATGGAAACAGTATCAAAAGAAAACATTTCTAAACGAAGGAAACTTCTTGACTTAGATGTCATCTACTGTATATACACTTTTGCTTTATCACCCCCTCAAGCGTGTTCGTCCCCTCACTAAACACCAACACCAATCCACAATCAATCATATCAAATATTGCCTCCATCACGTGGTTTCTGACAGCTCAAGCCTCTACGCGACTGTTCATTAAAGTTGCGCTGCTCGATACTCGCTGGATTCTCGGTGTCATCGCTAAACTCAGCATGAAGAACCTTGGTTTAATTTTTATGTTCCTATTATTGGTAAACGGTAAGTTTTTGTATTTATTTAATTGTTCTTATATTATTTGAAACGATTCAAAGCTTTCGGTTCGGTTCGATTTACGTGTTTTTAGGAAGTTTGGTGGCTTCCGGGTCTTTAAGCCCCTAATTTTAGCCTATTATTGTTATTTTTATATTTTATTAAATGTCTGTATAGCTGACAAAATCTTAAATGTTCCAACACCTTTTGTTATGTTGAATATTGTTAAATTGCTTTCCCCCACATTAATCTACATTCCATAAACCTATGTGATAATAACTTTGCCAATTTCTTAAAAAGAACATGAAATGTCACAAGTATTCAGACCCTATGCTATGACACTTGAAATCGAGGTACATGTCATTTCCAACATCTTTGAGATTTATCTAGACTTTATTTGGAGTAAATATGTGGTCTATGCCTATGGTTTAAGTCAGGGGTGTCAAACTCAGCCCTGCACAGATTCAACCTTAATTAAACACATCTGATCCGGCTAATCAAGTCATTTAAGCTTATTTGAAATCTACATGGTATGTGTGTTGGAACTAAACTTTACAGGGCTGTGGCCCTCCGAGAACTGAGTTTGACACCTGTGGTTTAGTTTATGGGTAGTGTTCATTTCTGCTTTAATATTGCATGTGGATTTTATTGTAAATGACTGCTTCTGTGTTTTGCAGTGGTGTCTGGTGTTGAGACAGATATTGTGGAGTCAGTGTCTGTGATTGTGGGAGATTCTGTCACTCTACAGACGGAAGTTACTCAAATACAGAGCCGTGGTTTGATTGAGTGGAGGTTTGAAGGATATCTCATTGCTAGAGTCAACAGTGACTCCAATAAGAGAGTACAGGCCAATGTTACTGAGGAATTCAGAGGCAAGCTGCAGCTGGACAATCAGACTGGAGATCTCAAGATCAGAAACATCAGAACGGCAGACTCCGGACTTTATGAACTTGATATCAACAGTGCCAGAGGGTCATCAAAAAAGTCCTTCAATATCAGTGGTGAGCGCGTCAGATATTTAGGTGAAGTTTCAGACTCAAGGTGAATGTGTTTGCTGACTCTCAGAAACATTTCTGTTCATTAGGTGTGCTTGATTTGGCGTCGGATGGCGTGAAGGTCGTGTCGGTGATGGAGAGAGACTCTGTCGTTCTACCCTCAGGTCTATCTAAAATACAGAGAGAAGATCAGATAACCTGGAAGTTTAAAGGCACGCTCATAGCTGAAATAAATCAGACCGCCGGAATCTTCTCTACATATGATGTTCTTGATGGGAGATTCAGATACAGACTGCATCTGAACAATCAGACTGGATCGCTCATCATTACTAACGTCAAACCCAAAATCTCTGGACTTTATGAAATCAACATCAGCAAGAGCAGCAGCAGATACACCACGCACAAGACATTCAATGTGACATCTATTGGTGAGTCGCTGCAATAGTGAAATTCATTAAGGATCTTTGGATCAGTATCAAAATCGGTTAAAATGTCGTTTTAATCACATGTTCTCAGAAATCTTATGTTTGTGTTGTCATTGGTTTAAAATTTTGGTCATTGTATTTAGAAGAGAATGCCTTGGGAGAATAACTTTTTTGTAATGTGGCTTTTTATCATTGTTATCTCAAGATAGCTGAACCATCAGGAAATTATATATGATGTTTAATTAAATATAATTTGGCGGCTTCGTAGTAATACTTAGCTTGTCGCGTGTCGCCATCACTGCTGTAAGGAGACACGATGACAAAAAAATAAAAAATCTGTTTTCATTCTCTCGCATAACATTTGCGTTCTCTCCCAAAAGCACTGAAAGATATGTCCCATTAGGGGCTCCGTAAAAAAAAAAAAAAAAAAGATTCCAGGTACAGTCACATTTACCATTGCTCTGTGAAATTTTGATGGCAAATCACTTCTTTCCAATATGGAATCCACGCAATAGGGAGTTTCGCGTCAGGGTAAATGTTCATAAAACAAATTTGACTCAGGTTTAAGTTCATGTTCAAGAAAGCTTCTTGGCTCAAAAGTGACTTCTGTGTGAAATGTGCTTCATGCGTTTGTATAGCCTACGATTGACGATAGACTAATAGACAGTGGACTTTTTTTTGCATATGAAATTTCACGGAAATGTCGATAGCTCACCCAAAAATGAAAATTCTGTCATTAATTACTCACCCTCATGTTGTTCCAAACGCGTAAGACCTCCGTTCATCTTCGGAACACAAATTAGGATATTTTTTGATGAAATCCGAGAGCTTTCTGACCCTGCATAGACAGCAATGCAACTGACACGTTGAAGACCCAGAAAGGTGGTGAGGACATTTTTAAAATAGTCCATGTGACATCAGTGGTTCAACTGTAATTTTATGAAGCTACGAGAATACTTTTTTTTGTGTGCAAAGAAAACAAAAAAAATGCGGCGTCGAGTCGTGTCTGCTTAGGATTCGATTCCTGGGGAATGTATTAATTGCAATTGCTTAATTGCTGTCTGTGAAAGTTCTCCTGTGTTTTAATGTTGAGACAGATGGAGAGAACAGGCTGTCTGTGATGGAGGGAACTTCTGTCACGCTAGAATCTGGTGTTTCTGAAATACACACAGATGACGTGATCGTATGGAGGTCTGAGCATGGAGACTCTATCATAGCAAAAATCGATAGAGGGACAAAGGTCTTCACTACATTGGATGGAGCTGATGGGAGATACAGCGGCACACTGGAGCTGGACAGTAAGACCGGATCTCTGACCATCAGGCACATCAGAACTAAACACACTGGACTTTATCACCTGGATATCACCGGCAACCGGCGCACCGTATTCAAGAGATTCTTTATTTCTGTCTGTTGTGAGTATTTGAAGAGTTTTAATGTAGGCTAATAATAGCCAGTGCTGTGAGAACAACTGAGTGAACTTAATATTGGTGTATTATAAAACTGACAAACAAAATAGAAATGTGCAAACGCCACTCAGAAGTGCTGATAAAATTGATGACTGGTTCATCTTTTTCTCATTACAGCACAGAATTGGTCTCGATATGTTATGGTCGGAATTGTTGTTGCTGTTTTGCTGTTGGTCGTGATCGGAGCTGTTGTTGGGATTCGTCGTCGTCAAACGCAAAATGGCAAGTATTACAAACAGCTGATATAATAAGCGGAGCATTTGCGATTTACTATGTAACAGAGACTTTGAAGATGAAAAAATGTGTTTTCATCATCAAAACATTTTACATATGTGTTTAATTGGGCTCACTGCCATTAGGGGAAATCCAGTATCGAGTAAGATGCTGTTTGCACCATTATGTGCAACATAATAAAATTGTGTTTTTGCTGACTCTTGATTTTGGGGGTTTGTGACACTACTGTCCAAACTGGTGCTCAGATTGTCAGTTTGGCCATTTAAAATAAACCCTCTAAGAACGTCCTCAAATGCAGACTTTTGGGAGAAGTGATACCAGTCTTGTCATCGCTGTCTTATTTAATGTTAGTTTTGGACACATTTTCAGACTGAGAATTTCGACATCTCAAGAAGACCTTTTACTGAGTGTTCCTGATCGTATCTGATATGTTTCTCTTCTTTCTCTTGTTTTTGTGTTTCAGTTAATGGCTCTGTAATATGAGAGCGATTTTTTGCGTGGAGTGATCAGATGTCCGTCCAATTCCACTGAAGGTGGAAATTAAATCCAGCTAAAAATATGCACCAAGCCTCAACCAGCTTTTGAAGGATGAAAGTTTTTTTATTTTGTACTATGACCTTTTCAAAAGGAGTAATTTCATTGATTAAAATAATGTTGTTTTGATGTCCATAGTGATCAATATTCAAGCACTTATGCATGGTTTTATTAGTTTGTCTGACAAGAGAATGTTACTGTTCTGTACAATTTCCACACACATTTATATGTAGTATTAAACAGAACATGGTGCTAGAAACATAACTGAAAATTGAATGCAATCCTAGTCGTTTTGTGTTATATCTAAAATATAACTATATAATATATAAACTATATATAAAATATATATCTATAAATATAATGTTTTCTGAGTTTATTATCTGAAATAACGGTGTACTGAGCTTTTGCTGAATGATTTAAAAGCTTGACCTTTAACATTTTAGGCTTCTTTGGACATCATGATCTAAAGATTCATAATAGAAACCTGTCTGTGTGACTTCTGTGTATCTCTTTCATATTACTTTTTATATTTGCTCCGTTCATTTGTTGCTCATTTCATCAGTCACTGTCAAATCTTATGTTGTTGTGTGGTGTCTTATAAGGGAAAGTCTCCATCTCAGGGTATGCCTTTGCTTTCATATAGTAATCTTTGTTGAATTTATGCTGGTCAAGGTCTGTATGTTTAAAGCTGGTTTTATTTTGATATTTCATTTTGAATAACAATTATATTAAATTAAATGATTTTTATATGTTTGTGTGATAAATGCCAATAAAAACAGGTCTGATTCTCTATAGTGACTGGAATGTGTGAGTTTGTCATGAAAGGATTTAATTTGTATTCAGACCCTAACACTGAATTATTTGCATTCTTTGTACATTATGGGATTTCAAATCTCTACTTCATAAAACATTCACCTTTAACGTTTTAGGATTCAAAATATTACCAATAGCTACTAAGTTTTCTAGCTGTTTAACTCGATCTTCAGCAATATGAACAGTGTCTAATCTTAAAATATATTTTAATATTTTCTTAATATTTGTAAACGCGTGTTTATATTGGTTGGCGACGCTAATATTGAATAGGTAAATAGTAGTAGTATAATATGCTAAACCAGCATATGCTGGTTAGGTAAGTTTTGAAGCTGCGATGCTGGTTTAAGCTGGTCCTTAGCTGGTCATGTGCTGGTCCTAAACTGGTCCGCCCAGCTTAAACCAGCAAAGGACCAGCTTAAACCAGCAAAGGACCAGCATAAACCAGCAAAGGACCATCTTAAACCAGCAAAGGACCAGCTTAAACCAGCAAAGGACCAGCATAAACCAGCAAAGGACCAGCTTAAACCAGCAAAGGACCAGCTCAAACCAGCAAAAGGGCCAGCTTAAACCAGCAAAGGACCA